TATATATATATATATATATGTATATATATAGGTCTGATCACAAATGAAGCAACCGGTCCCTGTGAAAAACTTGTCAGTTCGTTTAGGCAACAGCATTTATACTGGAGTACGTTTTTTTTCCAAATAATAATAAAAAAAGCCTTGGTGAGTCTTTATAGCATTGATTTTTCCTGATTCGTTTATACTCAGCAGATGGAATGGTTCAGACTGTAGCGGATACCCCCATTTCTTCAGTAGTGGTTGACCTAGACCATGATGAGTTAAGAGGTAACTGAAGAGAATAAAACAATTAAGATGTAAAGTGTGTGCACTAATAGCCGATCGGTCTGCCTTTGTTCTTCAGGAAATTTTCGAGTATCTTCGGCATCGAATCCACCAACATTGTTATAAAGTCATTTTCTATTTTGTGTTCCATTACGTAGAGCATTTTTGCCTCCAATGTCCAATATACAGGTAGCACATTGACCTCTCTCTTCAAAACATGAAACAGATATACAATCACGTTGAGATCCAGGCTATTAGGGGGAAGTTGCATGAACTGGACCTTAGAGTGACGCATCTTTTCTGAAGTCTCAAAGCAAATAATAAGTAAATCAGAATCCTTAACTAAATAAATTGACTAACCTTTCGTGAAACACGACACAGAGCGTTATCCTGAAAGACGATCACTTTTCTAGACGATTTTTTTCATGAAGTTCGGGAAATATTTTCGTAATCACTGATGCAAATTTCCCACTATTCATGGTGCCTTTGACTGATGTCCTCTGACAAGGCTGACCATGTTTTATCCCTACTCAAATGAGTAGTCTCGGCGGATGAAAAACTCTTTCATTTGGTGGAATAAGTTCTTTTGGGAAATTCTCACCACAAATGACTTTCTTGTGAGCCTTCTAAGGCTCGTCTCACACCATGCACTTGTCGGCAAAATAAACCGATCGCCAAAACGACGCACGTCGAGTTTTGAATTTTTGGGCAAAGTCAGTACGCACCTGTCTTTGCAGCGCGTTCAATGCTGGCCTGACGTCAGCTGAAACCTGACGCATCTTAAATTTTTCCATTCTTTGCAGAAGGCAGTATGAATGCCGGGAAAGATCTTCCCGTTGGATAGACGACAACGATTTTCTGCTATTTTTTCAGAGTAATACGAATCAGGTCATCCTCCTGTTTGGATGTACTCGGTTAATAAGCTGTTATGGTTGTTGTTTTCCCATGGATCATCCTGTTAATCGTGCTTTTGTTAACGTTGAAGCATTGGGCAAGATTTGATACTGAAAATCTCAGTTTGTGTGCTCGTGCAATTCTGTTTCTGTCCTCTTCACTGAGATAAGGGGAACTTTTGGTTTCGAGCGCTGCTTGCTTCATTATAGTGACAACAATACGAACATTCAAAGCTGTGCACAAAAATGACCTTGATTTCAAGGTTGACTTTGATTGAGGTGGTATTTTTCGAATTGATTGAGTTAGATATCAAACATAGCTTATTATTATGAAACCTTATTTAATGCAATTTCTCTGGGTTGTGAAAGAATTTCATTTGTTTATCCAATAGCGTTGCTATAATGGATT